GCGTGCATGGGACCCATGATGAGAACTTTTGAAAATACATGAAAATGTTCCATCTTCTAGGAAATTTTGGTGATTTGGAGGGACTTGAAGGGACTTTTGCATATTGAACCTTTTGCTGCTCTATTCTACAATCTAATATTGTAAGACTTCCATCTCACGGCGATATCTTCAGATCTGATGCGGCTGCTTTTTGGATACTTGGAAGACGAAATATCATTTCTCAGTGCAAGTATTCCACTCGATTCGCTCACATCCTCCCACCTCTTCCTGTTGACAAAGCTTCTCTGATAAGAAATCTGAAAAGACTTTTCGTGTGTTCGGGATTGAGAGAAGAATCCTGTACGGGCGAGATGGTTTCCTTTAGATGTCACCCACAGAAGCCACCTGCCGCCGCTCAGCCTCTTGTCATACACAGAGCAGACAAGACAGAGGGAACAGAGCTCGGAGCTGTACCCTGTAATGAGGGGCCAACTGGTTTTGGGGCCAGGAGGCAACCAGAGTTCACCATTGCGAATGGGGCCGATTGCATGGGTCTCATGAATGGCTGCTGCAAACAGCTGTGGGTGGGAAGCGATGTTTACAGCAGTGACAGCCGGCGGCGCTCGCTCGCAGCCATTTCTCATGTGATCGCACATGCTACCATTAGCTGCAGATGAACACCCCTGAACACAAACAGGGATGATCGTCAGCAGGTGATCGCAATATCTGCTTCACGTCTGCAACTGTCCCCATTAGTCTCACGGAGCAATTTGTGAGACTCATATAATCAGCCCCATTCGCTTGGGTTAAAGGCAACTTAGGGTGGAGGTCATGTGACCACAGAAAAAAAAGCTAAAAAGAGATGCATAAGAATTATTTCGGGTAAAAGTGTCATCAATTGGAAGTTGCTGTCCTACTATTAATGTTTAGACTTTGAAGGAGAACTTTGAGGTGAGTGCTTTTCACTCACCTCATAGTTCTAGCCGACCTGTGACAATGAAACGGTCACAGGTCGGCTCAGTAGATCGGGAAGTGAGCGAACATATACCGGCGTTCGCTCACCTCTCGATCCTGTCACGGCTCTCTGCCGTGACAGGGGGAGGGGCTGGATTCCCCTCTCCCCGCTCCGATCCGCCAGCGCTGACTGGTGGAACGGACGGGGGAGGGGGCGGGTACAGCTGGCTCTGCCTCTAGATAGGCAGAGCCAGCTGTCACTCACGCAGCTGGGCGGATCTCGACATCGATCTCGGGATCCGCTCCGGCGGCGGCGTCTCAGTATACCGTGAGCTGTAGCTCGCGGTATACTGAGCTTAGGGTGACGGGACGACGCTAGTTTGTGTCCTCCCGTTACCCTAAGGAGAACTATGGGGAAAAGCCCTGACCCCATTGTTCTCCTTTAAGCAATATAGCTCAGTCACCGACAGAGGTGTCGCCAGGCTGGGTGTCACCCGGTGCGGCCACTGGTATCACAGAGGGTATCACATGGTATCACAGAGGCGTCATAGCAATATAGAGCTTGGTACTTACACTAGCTGCATGTAAAGGCCAACTCCAACCAAACTTCTTATATTCGTTTGGATAGAGCAGGGGCATCACCGGGCCGGGTGTCACCCCAGGGTATGTCATTAAGCATACGTGTGGCATCATTACACATGTGCATAATATTGTCATGAGAACAAAGAAAGGAGGGGACGTTCATCTGGCTGGATAAGGTATGCCGTGGGGTCCCCTTCTTTCTATTGCAGTTGTCGGCCTCTCTGTCCATGAACTTTTCAGAGGGGATGACACCAAAATGACTGTCAGTCATTTTGGTGTCACAACCTCTGATGGTGTCACCCAGTGCGGGTCGCGCCCCCCTTGTGACGCCACCAGAATAATGTGGGTAAGGTTAGCGATGTTTTTGTCGCCATTTTTATTACAAGATGGAAATGGCCATTAAAGGCCAACCAAAATGGAATGAGAAGTTTGTTGCTGCAGTGGGGCTTGGAGACCTGCGACGTATCCTTGCGGCGTCTCTGCGGAAAGGTGGTCTCGAGGTGTAAATTTAACTTCGGAAGTGGCTGGTAAATCAGAACGTATCTCTGGTGAGGATCAAACATACCAGGAACCCACCACAAGCCCTCCGAGCATCTCCATTCACTGCTCTACATCCACCCACACATACACAGATCTGTACAGAGCCCCCGCTGCACACACACACATATAAGCCTATTCAATAGCAAACACACATCACATGGATGTAATACGCTCCTATCAGCCAATCAGAAATCACCTGGTATCTGCTCAGATGAGCGTAAGCCTCTTGGTTCAGGTTGATGCACGTTGCCTATCCAAGCGCATTGGCACTGCTTTATTGAATAGGATTATCCTATAGAGCAGGTACAAGCAAACTCCGGCCCTCCGGCTGTGTTGAGACTACAACTCCTATCATGCATCAGCCTCTGGGAGTCATGCCTGTGGCAGTCAGAGTCTTGCAATGAGATTTGTAGTTCCATCACAGCTGAAGGGAGCTTGCCTACCCCTGCTATAGAACAATAGTAGGAAGGGCTGAGTTATAAAAAAGTACATATTACTACAAATCCCATCATGTTCCTGCCTCTGGGGGGGTCATGTCTGGGGCTGTCGGAGTCTTGCAATGCCTCATGGGACTTGTAGTTCCACAACAGCTGGAGTGCCAAGGTTGCCTACCCCTGGCATAGCCTAATGTCGATAGAAAAGACACACATTGATACATCTCTGTAATCATTAAAACATCACTAGATGTATTTATTTTACTGATATTCATATTTTTTACTGCAAGTATCAGCCTCTTGCAGTCCCTGTACAGCAGAGCTCAGGCTGGGAGAGGGAGAAACAACACAAGGAGCCAATCAGTGCTGACAAATAGCACGCTGATAGGAGGAGAAAGCAGAGTGACCGAGACATGGGCTCATCGCTGTCCAGTAACAGCATGGGGCAGGTACAGGAGTTTGGCTTTGAGTTGGACCTGATGGCATCTCTGTGATTTAGAAATCACTGTATGTGCTCCTATACAGGTCCCGTGCAGAGATTTTATGGGTGTCTTTGATATATTCGCTCCGTTTGCTGTCCCCCCTTTTATCCCCCAACCCCTGTTCTCCAGCTCCGTCTGTCAGAATCAATATTTCATGACACACCAAACAACCTGTGTGGTCTGCGCGTCTTCTCTCCTCCGAGCGATCGTCACTCGTTGTATCATTCAATTCCACAATGGTCACAAAGTCACAGAAAAGATTCCTGATTGTATCTTATCATGTACAGTAACCGAGCCGTGTGATTGGACGGCTTCTCCCACCAACAAACTCTACATACTGTACACAACGAGGAGGCCGCGTCCTTCATCCCATTCATCATCATCACCCACCGACATCCTACATACATGTACACAACGAGGAGAAATTCCTTCATCATCATCGTCACCCATTTGTATTTTATTACTACAAAACCAAAAATCAATTATATGCAATATAACTTCATCTATCTATCTCCATCCCATATAACCTCCCCATATGCTTTGGCAATGCTAAAATGTATTTGGTGCTGCCAATAAAGCTTATTTGAATTGAAAGAGAGATAATCAATCAGACATCAGTGTGCAGTGTGAATGTTCAGTTTGGAGGGGACTGGTATCCTGGTGATCTGATATCTTGTTGTGTTTATGATGATGAAGTGATTATTATGGGCTGTATTCTGATTTTTGTGCCATGTGTCTCCGCAGACTCTGCGATAAATCCGATCAGAGAAGAGATCACACGTCTGTACACATGAAGAATCTGCGTGGACTCGGCGTGTGTCTTCTGTGTCTGCAGACATGTAAGTGTGACTCTCGCAGCACATATGCAAAGCCTCGTCAGCACTTCTTCTGTATGACAGAAGGAAGATTTATCTCTTCATCCGTGAAGTTACTTCGAGCACCATTTATTTGATTGTTGGCCGGGACTGCTGAAAGGTGTGCGGAGGGCACCTCCATCAATTGCATCTTATCTCTGGAAAGGTTTTTTGTTTTTGAAATAAACAAATGTAACAGAAAACAATGTATATATTTCTGGGGGCAGACTACAATGCAATACACACGTTCTCTGCATATGAAAGCTGACAATATATACACTGAGTGGCCAGATTATTATGACCACCTGACGTTTGTAGGCAAATTAGCTATAATTTGGCGCTGAAGTTGCTAGAGGGCCAGACCATTATAAATAGGGAAGCAGGTTGTTTTCCTCATCTCTATCACATAGAAAAGAGTTGCTCTGTAGTTCACAGAAGCCAGCTGGGGAAGCTGATAACATTTCAGTTTTTACGGTCAGTGCACAGGAAGTGACAAGCACGCGGGATTTCAGGCAGACTCGGCGGGTATTTTTCTGTAATTGCAGAGTACTTTCTTAGCCTGTATAGAGAAAAGGAATGCAGCCGCCACATGTACGGAGCGGTGAGCTGTGGTATACGGCAGTTTTGGTTTTAGATTGTAATTCAGTTTGTTTGTTTTGCTTTTCATAAATTGAAATCTTTTTTATCTCAGATCTGTTTGTGGCGTCTGATGAGATCTATGAGGCCGGAAAAGACGCCAAACTGCCTTGTGACTTGCAGGGGGACGTGGAGTGGAGGAAAGACAACCAACTGCTGGTGAGAAGACCGAAAATAAGGAATGGCTTTGTCAGCCCCATGAAGGGGAAAGGTGAGATTACTCCATAATACGTCCTCTCATCTCCTTTACTGCTGGGGGAGAACTTCGCCACCTTTGTAGTTGTCCCTTTAAATGTGGGGGGGATTTTATCTATCTATCTATCTATCTATCTATCTATCTATCTATCTATCTATCTATCATCTATCTATCTATCTATCATCTATCTATCTATCTATCTATCTATCTATCTATCTATCTATCATCTATCTATCTTCTATCTATCTATCTATCTATCTACCTATCGATCATCTGTCTGTCTGTCTGTCTATCTATCATCTATCTGTCTGTCTATCTATCCATCTATCTATCTATCTGTTTATCTATCTGTTTATCAATCTATCTATCTATCATCTGTTTGTCTATCTATCTATCTATCTATCTATCTATCTATCTATCTATCTATATATCATCTGTCTGTCTGTCTATCTATCTATCTATCATCTATCTGTCTATCTATCTATCTATCTATCTATCTATCTATCTATCTATCTGTTTATCTATCTGTTTATCTATCTATCTATCTATCTATCTATCTATCTATCTATCTATCTATCATCTGTTTGTCTATCTATCTATCTATCTATCTATCTATCTATCTATCTATCCGTCTGTCTGTCTCTCTTCGCTCAGGTATACGCTGGACATAAGTTTTATAGATCGGCCCCCAGGTGTCAGACTCGGTTTGTTGGTGTCAAATAGGATGATATTTAATACTGTGTCTTTTTTTTTTATACAGATGATTCTCGTTTCAAGCTCTCAGAGGACTCTACAAACAACTTGGATATAATTAAAGTCGACGTCTCCGATTCCGGGGCTTACACTTGTGTGAAGGACAAAGACACGCGGACAGTACAACTTATAGTCCTCAAAGGTACGGCCTACATGAGCGTGTGATGTGGCGTTTAGTGTGTGTCGGTAAAGATGTGCAAAAATATATTGGGTGCATGTATAAAGTAGGTGAGTGTATGAAGGGGTAACAGAGGTCGCCCCTTTTTGGCCCTTGGACAACCGAACAGGAAGGGCGGAGGAAAGGAGGGGCACAAAAGTGGTCTAGAAGCCACATCAAAAAGAGGGTGTGGCTTTTATAGCATGGGCGTGGTCCAAAAGGCCTAATTAGCACGTGAGGCCGTTTTTACATAACCCCCAACTGCATTTTTAAGTAACAAAAAATTTATTTTTTCATTTTTTACATTTATATTTTGTATCTTTTTTTCCTGAGATATAAAATGTATGATTAACCGAGAACCCTTCAGAGTTGGCTTCAGGTTTTTTTATTATTTAATGAATTTCTGTGAAGAGTTTCTCTAAAATAATAATCCCTCTCTCTGATTTTTTTTGAGTAGTGGTGGCCTATCCTTCCAAGACCCTCCTGGCATCGGAGGACCTAACGCTGACCATTGAAGCCCCACCTAGAATGTCTCTCACTGTGTCCTGGTTGAAGGATCAAAAGAAGATCTCAAGTGAGCCCGTCCTGAAGAAGAACAATGTCCAAATAGAAGACAGTGGAACGTACGCGTGCCAAGTTAGGATGGACGATGGATCGGGAAAGACCTTTGCAACAGATATAGCAATACGAGTTAGTGGTAACGTATCCCCATTTCTTTCACATCAACCTCGCCACTCCAGCTGTGGTGAAACTACAAATCGCGCCATGCAATGAGTCTTGCAATGCCTAGTGGGACTTGTAGTTTCCCAACAGCTGGAGTGCTGGAGTTCGCTCATCCCTGATCTAGATACATACTTTAAAAAAACAAATTTGAGCCCAATTCCAGCTGTTTTTGTACAATTTTCTCCTCGATTTAGGATTTATAACTCTATCTGCATACCTAGGCCTCTATTGATCTAGAATGACATCCAGGACTGTCCCTGTAGGACCTCTTTGGGTCACGTGACCTTTCCAGACAGAGTTTCCCAGGTTGCTAAGAGCCGGGAGGGAAGATGCATAAGAGCCATAAACATCTCCCGGTCCAGCTCTTAGCAACCTGTTATGTTCTGGCCGGCGTCCTGTCCAACTCTGTCTTGGTGCTGGTGGTGTGCGAACGGTGCTCTGGGCAGCATCCTGGTGGTGCACCATAGATGGATAGATAGATAGAGAGCTATATAGAGAGTTATATAGAGAGCATATAGAGAGCTATATAGAGAGTTATATAGAGAGCATATAGAGAGCTATATAGAGAGTTATATAGAGAGCATATAGAGAGCTATATAGAGAGTTATATAGAGAGCATATAGAGAGCGATATAGAGTGAGTAGATGTTATCAATCCAGGAAGTATTTTTATTGGTGAGCGTTAGATTTTATTACAAGGCGTTTATATAACCGTATCCTCCCTCTACATCTCCCTAGGCTTCTATCGCTCTCCACACATCGTCTATGTATCTGGAAAGCGCCCGGTCACCATTCCTTGGTACTTCAATTTCGAGGTGCGGCGGACCCCCTTAGAAAAGGATGTGAGAGTCGTGAGTGGCAACATCACTCATTCATTACAGATGATTAAAAAGCTAACGGCAGAAAGTGGAGCCGCGTGCTGGGATACACCTTGCAGCACAAAAGTACAAGAAAGCTCTTATAGGGACCTGAGTTATCACCTTAAAAACCCGAAAAGTGGCTTCTATCAGATGGAGGTCGTCCTACAGCTCGAAACCCGGCAGAAACATCTGTCCAGGGAGGTGTGTGTGGGCAATCTGACAGGTAAGATCAGCCCAGTATATACCAAAATCAATGTTTAGTCTTAGGGCAAAAAAAGTGTTGTTATGGTATTGTATTTAAGTTTTGCCTTTCCCAAATCATCACGAGGTTCCAGGCCAGGGCTACATCACCAGGGCCTCACTCCGCCAGGTCAGGGTTACATCACCAGTGCCTCACTCAACGAGGCCAGGGTTACCTCCCCGGTGCCTCACTAAACCAGGCCATGGCTACATCACCAGGGTTTCACTCAGCCAGGCCAAGGTTACATCACCAGTGCCTCACTCAATCAAGCCAGGGCTACATCACCAGTGCTTCACTTAACCAGGCCAGGGTTACCTCACGGGTGCTTCACTCAACCAGGCCAGGGCTACATCATCAAGGGCTCACTCAGCCAGGCCAGGGCTACATCACCAGTGCCTCACTCAACCAGGCCAGTGTTACGTCACCAGTGCCTCACTCAAGCAGGCCAGGGTTACATCACCAGAGCCTCACCTAACCCGGCCAGGGCTACATCACCAGAGCCTCACTCAACCAGGCCAGCGTTACATCACCAGTGCCTCACCTAACCCGGCCAGGGCTACATCACCAGAGCCTCACTCAACCAGGCCAGTGATACATCACCAGAGCCTCACTCAACTAGGCCAGTGATACATCACCAGGAAGTGGAAGAACAGTAATTGTAAAAAAAAAACGTGTTTGTTTAACTAAAGAATGTGGTCATTGTTCAGCTGCAAATTTTCCACATGCCTCAGTTGATTCAACTTCTGTGAAGGTCCACCCACTATTTTTTTCGTTTCAGATGCCTTGACTCAAGCTTGGATATTAAACATCAGAATTCTGTGTAAATTCTAATTTTCATTTCATCTCTTATTCTTCCTCCCAGTGTCTGCGTCAGAGAGCGTCCCCAGCATGGAGTCCAACGTGTCCCTCCGGTGCGACATAAACTGTCTGGACACAGACAAGAGACTTTGCTGGTACTTTAATGTGATCGGGCGCGAGGTGTGTGGGCCGCCGGGCCAGAAATCCTTCACCAAAAATATCACCGCTGTACCAGAGACGCTGGGGAACTGGACCTGCAGTGTTATGGATGGAAAAAATGCCGCTGTCAGCACTATCCTGATACTGAGTGAGTGGCCTCCGAAAATCCATGGCAGAAGAATGAAAGATAAACAAGAGATCTATATGTAGCAATAGACAGATATAGATAGATAGATAGATAGACAGATAGATAGATACTGTAGATAGATAGATCAATAGATACTGTAGATAGATAGATAGATAGATAGATAGATAGATAGATAGATAGATAGATAGATAGATAGATAGATAGATAGATAGACCATTTGAATAATGGATATATAATTATCTTCCATCTTTGTTCCGCAGAAGTGACCCCGGGCTTTTTCCATCCATCTAACCCCCTGTTATGGGTGATAGTGGCAGCGGGAGTCCTTGTACTCCTATTTACTGTGGTCATCATCACAGTGGTGACGGCTCGCCGCCGCAGGATGGTGAGTAATGATAGGACGGTTGTCACTTTGTCGTTACATACACATCATGGTGCCCTAATACTGAGAGCGGCGTTGTCTGATCTGCTGACTGTTCTTTCTCTGCAGCGACGTGCGCGGTACAGAGCCTGGCTACTGGAGAATCTGCACCAGCACAGGGTGTGTGAGTGCAATGGGTAAGTGTGTTATGGGTACTTAGGGCCGTTTTTAATATTAATTGGGCCCTGGGCAAGATTCTGCTGATGGGCCCCCACATCCCTCCCCCCTCT